CTCTTCAATGTTAAGAAAGTGTGATATGACCTTCGACGCACAGCCAAGTCTTAACTTCCCCTAACTTAATGTTGTTTGTAGGTTGAACATCATTTCATCAGAAGTGTCGCAACTCACAAAGACTGATGCAAGCTGTTGTGGGTTTTTTTCTTGTGATTGTTTTTTAGGTTAAACATTATTGTATTGCATTAGTATTGTATGTGGTAGTATTATAGGTATTGATTCAACAGGAGATTAAAAATCACAGGCCCTTCCTCAGTATCGCTTATTATAGGCGTAGCTGCCAATCTCAATAGTAAAAGACACATAGGCAAATAAACTGTAGCACTAGAAACTCAGCATTGACTTACATTTTCAGAATCACTTTAACATTCTATTGAGTTGTTAAAGGTTTTTCTAACAAAACAGTAACACTGAATTTTTAAAATTTTTTGCATCAGAGCTACAGCCTAAGGCGTACAGCTTTCTGATCACTTTTCATTGCTTGTTGCTTCCATTTGTTAAGGCATGTTGTCATCTAACAGGTACAGAATGTGTCCATATCTGTCTGTAGCTGTATATCCACTTGCTCAACCATTACTCGAGCAAAGTGTGACACTCAGTGCAGAGCCGACTTTCGCTTCAAAGAATTCCAACTATCTTGAAATATAACTTGTCTGAATGTCTCGCCGTCACTGGCCACACCAGCTATTCCTCTGTGTCTAATCTTAGCTTGTCCTTCAGTCATACTTGTGACTCTGTCCCAAAAAAAGAAAACCGACAAGATCAAATCTAATTGAAGTGATCTTCAGTGACTTTTAAACAACATTGGCTGCCTTGGAAACATTTCAATGCCTTTCAGAGCTTTTGTTCTGTCCCTTAAATGGCAGATCATGAGGACAAACAGTCCAGTACAAGGTGCTATGTTTTCTCAAGAATCAGTCAACCACTGAAAATTCACGTAATAGGAGTGGTAATGGGTCTGTTTGGTCAATGAGTGTCGAGGAGACACCCCTCAGTGGAATGTAACCTGCTCTCCTTAATCTTTGACCAAGCCTGCCATATAATGCCATCTGCCACACCTGTATTGGTCAAAGGAGAAACCAGATAACATACAGTAACTTTGGAACTATGAATATACAAGACCAAACACGTTGTCTAACTTTCAGTGGAGTGATTTATATGACAACATGGAATCCTATCTTAACTTGAACTTCAAAGAATAAAAAGCCAACAAATAAAGAGATAAGATAAAAAAAGCAAGCAGGGATTTGATTGTTTTGTTGTCAGTTGTGCCTCTCCTGTGTTTGTTTGTGAAATACAGTAGTAATATGTCATCGCTCCTGAACTCATCCCAGTTCCTTCTGTACTTCTTCAGGTGCAGTGCATCAGCCTGTGTGGGCGATGCAATTTAAATGCAAATTCTCAGCCATGGACAAGGACCTGCTTAAAGCCTGAAGGCTGCATCGATTCACGCAGGCAAATTTTTGTGTGGTGCAAAATACTACTGGCACTGACACACACAAAGCTTTACACCGCTACTGTAACCGTAGCTTGGCAGTATGCATTTGCACGTGATGTGTCAGCAGTGTAAACAAAAGAAGTTGCAGAAAGGTGAAAAAAAAACCTGCAGGTGTTAGATTTCACTGAGTCTTCTATGAGAGAATGTGTCTGATTTTGTTTGCTCTCCAAATAGCATTTATAGTGCTAAATCACTGTAATCAGCTCATAAACAGAAGCCTTACAAGGGCTAAATAGCTGAGCATTCAGATCTTCACATCTCAGTTTGTTGAAATGTAATGTGAGCTACATGCCTCATTTTTACTATAACTGCAATTTTTTTTTTAAATCGGCGCGACAGCGACTCGTTGTCCTACTTTTCATGAGTCATCATCACCAAGTTCCCAACATAAAGATAAACAGTAACAGTGCAGATACAAGACAACAAGATCACAAACTAGTGTCAACACTGCTCTTAAATGCTGTTGAGTCCATGAATATATCTCAGGCCACTCTGAATTGAAAAAAAAAATATCTCAAGGAATTCACAACTACAGTCAAATGTTAATTTCAGGTAGATTTTAATTCAAATTATGCCTTATGAATTCAAATTAAAAAGGGTGTTCTGAATTGGACATGTCAAGTCTGCACAAATCTAGATTTAAGCAGTTCAAATATAATCTCTGCTGACACTAATCTTTTTTCACGGTTGTCCTCCAACTGTTAAAAAAAACAAACTCTTCAAGAGATAGTCCTGCTTGTAACCACTTTCTGCATCCCTGTCTCAAGGTCATAATGATGTGGATGAATTGAACAGAGTACAAAATGAGGTGTGTATGCATGCCTGGTTGCATATGTGTGCATACACAGGTCTCTGCATGATTGAAATGTTACCGAGCAGCCTGAAAGAGTTCGACAAAAGAGGTAATGCCCAAAGCAAGCACGCATGGGTGTGTAACTTCTATTTCATCACACCACCAATCAGGTGCTAGGTAAAACAAACACAGCCCTTGCTCGGCTCGGAGTGTGTGTTCTTTCTCATGCACACACGGAAGCTCATAGACACCACAAAGTGATCTGACTGCTGTAACTGGAGCCAGCTTTTGTCTGCAGGTCTTTACTTGAGCCATCTTTTCACTATTATACAGAGGCACAGACGGTGGATCAAGTTTCATCATAGCTCTTATTCTGCAAAAAAGGCTAAACTGGGACTTGTCATGGGTGCACAAAAACTGCTGTAGCTGCAGAAAGCAAACACTGCCCTATTGATTTACAAGTGTGTTCTTAATGTAGCACTCGACAGTAAGACACCTTCTAAAACCAAACACGAGCCACAGAGGTAGCAACGCTGTCTGCATTAAAAACAGTTATTAAAAACAGTTGAGCTTCTGCAGGCCCCGTCTTATCTCTGGCTCCACCTTTGCACTGCCACAACAGTAGGATGGCTTTAATCAACATGCATTGTTATCGTATTGCTGCGACACCGCAACATGAAGGCTTTAAAGTAAACGCCTTTAACTAAGTCGACATGTTTGACCTTCAACCCAAATTCAGTGTAGCAGGACATTGAACCCTAAATGTAACCAGATGCCTCAGACATGGTGACAGGTCTAAAAACACTGGTCATGACCCACTTAGCTATTCCTATCCAGCTTCTTCAAGATATTTGCATATGTATGCCAAATTTTAGAGTGCTGGTTAGTTAGATTAATAAAAGACTGACATAGCGTCCGTGCATGAGATTAATGGCTTTGAATTAGAGAAATATGCACTACCATTGTGGACTCCTAGGGCCATGCTGAGGTTATTTTTGTTGCAAAGCTGTTCACATTCAATACAAAATTTCAATAGTTGACAATTACACATTGAGGTATTCTTGTGATAAATTGCTCACATTAATGAACCATGCGCTGGAGAGCTGCAGGCACAGTTAGGTAGCCTCCCTTATTAAAAAGTGAGGAACAGAGAAGAGCGAGACGGAGTACAAAGACAAATGGTGAGAAAAGACAGAGATTAGAATGGATAAAAATTTGTAATAGAGATCAGAAATGCCGACATTAGCTGTGGTGTTTGTACTGGATATTAAAGTGCTTCACTGTTAAAGTAATGGAAACTTCACTGAAAACATGTATGAGCCATAACAAGCTCGGAGAAAGCAGTCTCAGAAAACTGCCCACGCCCTTTGACCTCTTTGACCACAGGTCCATTTGTTATGGTCATAGATGCATTGATTGAGCAATATATTGAAAAAATGCTCAGATTCTGGTCCCACACGTGAGGACAGGGTTCCGTTTTTAAATACAATCAATGAAATTCGTCTTATATATCACGAATCCTCAAAGGAGATACACTTGGCTCAGTTTTCACTAATTTAAAACTTATAAATCAATCTAAAGCCATTAAACCTCCTTGAATTATGCATTGCATTCTCCAAAGTGTCACGAGAATTTGATGATCTGATCCAGTAGAGTAATGCAAGGACTGGAGTCTTTGCGTTGTGTAGCTTAAGAGAAGTTCATTTACCAAAGTGGCATTAAAAGGAATGCATTGCTTTAAACTGCATGCTAAACAGTTTGAAATACACGTAGAGGAGGAGCCCCAGACACACCATGATAAAGCAGGTATATTTTTCTAACATGTCTCCTCCCATCTTTAAGACTGAAGATATGTGCATTTACTGGTCTAATTGCATGCATGTGTTAACTTGTGGGTTTAGATTTCTTTGTGTAGCCACTCTTTTGATGATCATGATTATATGTTCAAAATATACACAAATTGATTACATTTTGACATTCCACGCATTTCTACAAGGTGTCTACTGGTGTCAGCTGAGCAGCTTTGTCTTTTATCTCCAGTTTATGCATAACATCATTGGTGTTGATGTAGGGTTGCATCAAGCAGAAATGTACGCTTTGACATGTGTATTCAAGTCAGCAGTTATGACTGGCATACTGTGAAGAAGCCAGTCATTCAGATCTGTGCTATTTTTAAACTGCAGCTCTGTCAGGAGATGCCTGATTGACAGCAGAGATTCCCCATCTCCCACTGGCTATGGTATTGGAAATAATGTTTCTGTAAACCAGAAATTGAGCTGTCAGAGCTGCGTTTAAGTCTATATTTCCAAATACACCGACACACAACAGTTTATCTCTGTCAAAGCATTTTTGATATGCTAAATCAATCCATTTTATATGTAAACCGACACAGAATCATTCTATTTATTATGGAAATGATGTTTTCTAACAAAAAAAAATGCAACACCATTCTCATTATAGTGGTGGTAATGGCCTGTTCTGAGTGTAACACCTCGTTGTGGTGAAAAACCGCTGAACAGCAGACTTTAAAGTGACTATTCGACGTGACGCCATGACATGATTTGATTTTGTGCTACTTACACAGTAATTGCATCTCCGGTAATGGTGGGAGGGGGTCCGTCTGAACTTCACGGGGCGGGATGCGGAGGTTGCCCCACCCCGCTGTCTGCACCGCCGCTGCTGCCAACACGGAACTGTTGGCGCTGTGCTCCTCCATCTCTGCACACAGAGGAGGGGAAAGACGTTCTCCGAAACGCCTGAGACGTTATCGTTTTTTGGACTGACGGGCTTCGGTCTTCGTCGTCGCTAAAGTGAGTAACCGTGTCTGTAGTTGGCTTTAAAACAACTGTCCGGAGAAACAGCTGCTAACTATCCGGTCAAACGGCAGTTTCCTGAGCTAACAGTTGACATTTATCCTAGCGCTTAACTGCTAGCTAGCTAGCTAGCTAGGGCTAGCTGCCCTACCAAACAATCACCTGGCTGCTGGGCTCCATAGCTAGACAGTAACACTGACAAGTAGTACAAGGTTACTGTTGACGTTAGAAACATGAGTGTTATTACTGGTTAGCCGCCAGGTCACCGCTAACTTTGTGTTTTTTGCATGCTGTTGCAACGAAGTTAAGTTACGGCTAAAAACAAAACACCGAGGTCCATGTGCATCATAGGGACAACTCTGGGGCTCAGGTTTATGTTGTAACTTGTCAAATATAACACGAACATAGCCTTTAATTTCGTTCCTAACAGCGTTCTTGAGCTTTCTGTATTGTTAGCTGACATTAGCTAGCTGTTGTCGACGACAGTCTGTGATGTAAATATTGACGACCCCAACTCACTCATGGTAAACTAGACAGATAGATACATGCAGAATATATAGAAACAAGTGGATAGAAAAAATATAACTGTGCAAAAGTAAGGTGCAAATCAGTGCTATTGGTAATGTGCAAATAATCAGAGATGTCTGTTTAAATAAGTATTATATCTCTGTGAGGAGTTGAAGATCTAAATATTAATATCAGCCACACCCCACACAAAAAACGGTGGTGTAACTTCTGGCTCCTAATCTGATTTTCGTTGATGTTAGATGTAAAGGTGACACTAGGGGGGACTTTAAATGGCTTTTTTAAATGGATAAGTGTTGTGCTAACTTCTGCTCAAAAGATTTGTTGTTGTTGCTCGTTTTACATGGGAACGGTATGAATCCTGCAGGTACACCTTTAGGTGTCTATGACCAACATTTAAAAAATTATTATTTTTTTTTTAGAAATCTTGGGGTCCCACAGTAATTCTATTAGCTTACCAATATATGTCTCCTTTAACATTTTATATCTGGTTAAACCCTAACCAGTTACCAACAGCACACACTCGCTTAACACTTGGGTTTATAAAGTTGATGTTCTAGTTGGACAGAGATTGTAAATGGCTTATGATCGTGTCTAGCCAAACTTCAAAAATGACTTCCCTTCAAGTATTATAGTCTATCATCTGTTTGATCACTGTATTGGATTTTATTATCCTTTGATAACTTTGTGGTAAATATCCCAATAGTTAGTCAGTCTACTCAGATGTACTAATTGTCACATTTAATTATTGAATCAACTTGTCACAACGTTATCATAAGTTGTGCCCAAGTTACAGGCATCCATAATGATCTATGCAATGTCCAAAAGTGTCTAAGATGATGCACTGAGGCAAACATGAACACTTACTACTGGTTCTCCATACAATAATCCCATCTCTATGTTTGTGTTTACTGCATGGAGTTAGAAGTCACCACCTAGCAGCAAATTAATTGTCAAGTCTGCTATTGTTTGAAAGGAATGCATTGTGAGTTCCACCAGAAGTCATACAACATCATATTAAATGCCTGAAGCAACTGAGGTGACCCTGCCCTTTCTCTCTCAGGACGTTTTTGTTCTTAAGATTTAAATCATCAAAATACCAAGTTCACACATATATACTTGTGTTTGTCTTCTGGGAAGGTCAGAATATCACTGTAAGCTAGTTGAGAAAGTACAATAGTGTTGATTTACTGAGTCCCTGGTCAGTTCCAGTGTTCAGTGTTCCTGGTTTAAAGGGCTGATTGTGTAACTTGTTAGACTGAATGTTTTTAAAATAAGGAAAATGTAAACACTAATCTATGCTTAACAAGGTTGCATGCTTTATTCTCAGATTTATAATGTAGTACTACTTGGCTGTGGTTTATTGTGTAATTAGGTGATCTGATCAATTTTCATATGTCCTGATAACACATTTTAAAAACCCTCATCAGATAGCCATCACAACTACATGACTGTATTATATTGTCTGTTTGATGATGTGTTAAACATGCCAAACAGTATCATGGGTACACCTAATATTGTGTCTGTTGCTTTATAGATAAAATAGGTGGATAAAAGTGACTTGATGATAATTGTGTTTCATTGTCTTCTAAGGACACACCTCGTAAAGAACCACTTTGAGAAAGCTTTAATAAGTCACACCACCATGAACACCATTATGTCCACCAGTGACCCTTAAAATTGTTCCCACTTTTTCGGTTCATTACCCACCTATATGAAAATAGAGTGCATTGTATATCGTACTGTTCACTAACAGCGGATGGTCAAAACCTCTGATACATTTAGGTTTACACCTCATGTTGCTTGCTTTTTGTTGTTTTATGAGCATAAGAAATTGTTGGGGCTTCCTTCAATCAGACCAAATTCTGTTCTGTGAGAGTCATCATGTGATGTGACCAAAAGCAGGGGGGGACAGGAAATAGCATGGGTTAGGTTGCAACTGTGATGTGCAGAAGCCATTGTGGCTAACAGGTTAACAATAGCAGCCCAAAAAGTTTACACTATTAACTTCCATCACGGTCCTTACACTTACTGCAGCCAAACAGCATCTCTTTTTTTCTGCTTCTTGTATTATATTATTTTTCTGTCTAGTTATAAAATAAGAATATACAGAAACAATCCTCCATGAATGCTTTCTTAAATTGCCTCAACATTGGAGAGCCACATGATTTTGTACGACATGGTTGAGATGATTGAAGCTAAGGAGGTGGTTCATTTCTCAGCCAGAGGCAAATGTGTCTACGTCACATAGACTTGAATGGGAAGTGAATTTCGGTCTGACTGCTCCATTACTCTGTGAAAATGGATGGCACACATGAGGAGGTTGTGGTTGTAGTATGGCTCACTACTTTTTATTCAAGGTAGTTTTCACATTCCCACAGCCCCATTCCTGACCAAAAAAAAAAGTTCTGACAGAACGGCACTGGCATGTCGTATCTGTAAAAAATGTATTTTCTGTACAAGCTCCAACCCTTCCAAATGGGAATTTCACAGATTATGGACAACTTTCCCTTTTGAAAATGAGTTATTTCGAATCAGTAGACATGTTTCAAAGATTTAGGCATGCATTAAGCACAGTAGCTCAAGTAAAGTGGTCCTCAGCTGGCAGATACAAGTCCAAGAGATCAAGAAAAACAAATTTCTGTTTTATGTTTGTCCTGCTGCATTTTGTGTCTTATGCAGACTCATCTGGCATATGTGTGTGCAGTTGTGTCACACTTGGCTTGGCTTGACTGGGACAGAGATGAAAAAAAATCTGTCATTGTACATAAAACCTCTCATCACAGTCTCTCAAGTCAGCATGTTTGAAATTATTCAGAAATTATGGCCTCAGTTCTTTATTTGGCTTAGCACAAAAAAGCCTCATAACTCTATTTCATAATGCAGGTCAGAAGCAATTAATTCCTACAAGACTTGTCCAACTTACCAGTATTAGACAGCACAGAATGCTGCTACAATGTCATGCATGTGAGTCAGTAACTCCTCATTTCGAAAACACTGATTTATGTATTTTCATAGCCTGGGGAAGTGTTTGGAAGGTATTAATGTGTGAAAAGTAGATACTGTTCAAGCTTATTGTTTAGTGTGCAATTATAAAGCTGTGTGTAGTAACAGCAACTTTCTTCCAGCTTGTCCTATTGCATTACATGGGTTTTAGTCTTGTTGCTTTCTGTAGAGTCGTAGGCACCACTCTTTGAGCATCAAATTGTCTCCAGTTTCAGAGAAAGTGTTCATGCGGGCTTACTGTTCCCCTCAGTCCCCATTGTCATGGACTACTGAGCACTTCAATTAGCATATGCCATGTCTTCCTTTTCTTTCTGCTGACTCCGTTTGACTGTCGAAGCCTGAATTGTTAATAAGATATTGACAGGTGGTAGCTTTAGGCCTCAGTGGGGTGAACTCCTCCATCCTGTAGTTTGAAAAGTGCACACATGGGAGCTACAGATACACACCAGTAGCCCCTTGCCTAATTGTTAATCATCTTTCCGTGACACTGATGAATTAACATAAGTATAGTTTAAAATGAAGTTCGGGAGCTTAGCTGTGCTGGCAGCAATTAGTTTTATCCTAGCTGTCTGTTGTTTTTTTTTTTTTTTTTTTTAGATGTGCAAGGCTTCCAGGACATTTATGCAGTGACTGGTGAAGGTACAGTTTTGCCTGTAGTGCAGCGTGAAGACAGATCCCAAGAGTGAGCTGCCATTGCTCTAAGCATTGCTTATTGAGATGAGTGTTAATTAGTTTTTTGGTGAAATTCTTCAAATCCCTACCAAAAACCTCCATAGCTGAATGCTAACTTCATAATGTTCAGATGATATACTGTGTATGTTGTGTAGTTTCAAATGGTTGTCATTTTTGTTGACAGTATTTGCAATAGTAAAAGCAAATAACAGGATCTAATCCAGACATATTTTGTCTGCCATCCCATGCTGGACAAATTGCCCCAACACAAAAATTGGGGAACATTTGATCTTTGTGCATTACAGCTTTTCAGCACTAGTTATCAACTTGCCCCTTGTGTTAAGATTTTTGCACATTTGTGGCATTCTTTTACCCAGCTTCATGTAGTCACCTGGAGTATCCTTCAGTCAGGAATTCATATATGTGCTGAGTACTTGTTGGCAGCCTTTCATTTACTTTTCTGTTCATCTCATCCCAAACCATTGCAACAGAGTTTAGGTCCAGGACCAGGTTCAGCGCTGCACTTCATTACTTTCTTTCTTGGTCAAGTAGCCCTTACAGAAAGTTTCTGGAGGTCTGTTCTTCTTTTCATCGGTCTACTTTAGTTGTCGTGTCTTTGCAGCAGCTGCGACGGTGAAGACCTGACTCATGCAGTCTCCTCAGAGCAGCTGCTGTTAAGATGTGTCTGCTACTTTTATTCCGGTAGACATTGATGAGGCCTTTAATCTGAAGCCCTATAAACTGGCTGATAAGTCTAATGAAATAGTGTGCTTAGCTGACATCAAATATATTTTTATCAGTGCTTCTGTGGTGGCTACATAATTTCATATACACTGGTTCAACCTTTTGATGTCTTCTATTTTCTTGTACAATACAGGAAATAGTGAAAGTAAAGAAAAATGAGTGAGAAGATTTGTCAAAACTTTGAACTTGTACTCCATGATTGTACTGTAAAGTGTCTCTGTCCCACCACATCTTTCCTCTTTCCTCGCTGCAGGATGTTCCGCTTGCGGGCGTTGTCCGCAGTTTCGGTGGGGCTTGCGCAGTTGTCCCGGCGTTATCACAGCGGGGCGGTGCGAGGGTCCGGTCAGAGGAGGCTGATGCTGGCAGCCCTGGTTGGTGTAACTGGTGTGTCTGCTAGTGCTGGACTTCTTTGGAAAAGGTAGGACTGGGTTCTTTAATGCACTTTTATGGTTCTTTGTACTACTGACAAAATAATGCTTAATTTCTGCTTTAGTCTGTCAAAGGGCATTTTGAAGCAAACTGATTTGTAGAGACTGCTGTTATTGACTTGGGACCAGTCTAGTGTCTAGCTGACCTGTCAGCCAATGTCAGCTGAGATTTGCCCCTGGCCCAGTGTTGCCTTCATCAATGTCTCATGACTGGATATTAATTTTTCACATGTTTTTAAAGCTGCTTTTTATGGATTTCCTGCCACATCAAAAATATCCCCCTGATTGACACTACTCTCTTTGTAGTGTGTCATTTTTTGTCTTACATCATGCATTTCAAGCTGCTCTATTTGGTGTGGTCCCTCATTAAATGAAAAGATCTTAATGTATATTGAGTAGGCTAGAAATTGCTTGCGGTGCAGTACTCAACAGCAGTTTGACTTTAGAGCACACGCCAAATTCGATTCCCCAATTCACGTGTTTTTATGACTATCCATTACTAACCAGTCTAGTGTTTAGTTAAGGCAAAGCAGTAGAGAGGGTGTTAATGTGAGAGCTCTATGGGGAGAGAATGACTGGGCTGCAGGAGGCAAAGTGATGGATGGTGCCTCAGGGCATTTGAGACTGATGGGACGAGACTGTTCCAGGCCTTCACCCCAGGCTTCATTCTCCTTGTGTCTCATTAAACTGAATTATTCAGCCTGCCCGAGACAGACCCAGCTATTTATTATTATTATCCCAATTTTCAATTTAGTCAGAAAAATGGTCAAGTGGGAGTTTGCCACGGTAAACACCTCCGCATTGCACAGAAAAGTAAAACATAGTGCAGTACATAACCCTTTTACTGTCTGTGTTAAGTGTGTTTAGCATCATAGCTACAGTACATGCCTAGCTGCAAAGCAACTAGTTATACTTGCTACTAGAGTAAAATGCAAATGCATCGCAATACGTCACTGCGTTGCTCAGTAGTAGATATATGAGAATAAAACTGTCTCTTGAGCTCTGATTTGTTTTCTGATGTGTTTCTTTGTTACAAAACTAGAGCATATGCAGATGCAGGGTCGTCTGTTCGACACGCTGAGCAGCCAGGTGGAGACGAAGCTGAATTTGTGAGAGACGCAGACTCCGAGACGGAGTCGGAGAAATCGGTGGAGCCCAGCAGTGGAGATGAGGACGCAAAAGATGAAAGTGGAGAGGGGAAAAAAAAGAAGCCACGCTCCGGGTTCCGTGACCGCAAGGTAATCAATAAACAATAAACATTCAGCCATTCAGTCAGTCTCCTATTTAATTCATCTTCAGGATGGTGTTTTGAAAGCCCCCCAATCAATGTCCAATATGCAAACGCTAGAATATTTTGACTAATTATTTACAGAGACACGCAAAGGTAATCAGCATGCACTTCTGCCGTCATAAACAACAGGAATGTACCACCCGTACGATTTTATTGCTGTTAATTAGGAAGCAGATGACAAAGGACAAACAGAAGGAGAACAAAGGTACTTGGATACCAAATAAACACAGTTTGTAGCTGAGCGTATTACAATCAGAAGACCAAGATGAAAAACAGTGGAAGGCTTTCAACAGAAGAGGCCTTTTTGTTTTATTTTTTATAAAAAGTGATGCAATGATACAGGTACATCAGCCTTGTCGTAGTAGCAGCCATAGTCTTAGTGGTTTAGCTGCAATGAAATTTTACAGAATGTGTGGTGGGAACTGAAACATTAAGCAAAGTTTCTGATTTATGAGGGGGTTTTTTTTGTCCATCTGTGTGTCTTTTATGAATACATGCCGGCAATAGCCGAGGTAGAAGGTATTAGGGGTGAGTGCAATATCTCAGGAGCACCTTAAGGGAATTTATTCAAATTTGCTATAAAAGTCCACTTGGACTCGAGGGTGAGCTGGTTGGAATTGGGTGGTCAAACGTCAAGGTCGCTGTGACATTACGTTCGTCCCATTTTTGTGAATTGCCTGGGGGAATTTCACTTCATAGGGCACAAATTTCCCCTTGGACTCAAGAGTGGACTAATAATAATTTGGTGATCGAATGTTCAAGGCACTGTTACCTCACAAAAAACATTTTGCTCATAACTCAATAATTCATAGACTAATTATGACAAAATCTTACACAAGTCTAATAGAATGAAATGAGAAAGGGTCAACTTCACTGTTACAACACAGTGTTGTACAAAAACTGGCCATTATTCAACTCCACAACTCAGAAACAGAAGGGGAGATTGTGACTTTTTCATGTTTGGGTATACACTGAATCACTGCTGAATATTGGCTGACAACCTTGAAACTGTGGTGATTGTTTTGTATCTTCTGTGCTTCTGGGTTAAAAATATTGGTGAAGCATCCACGTTTTAAAATCTGTAGCTTCTTTGTAACAACGTTTATATTTGAAGAGTTGTCTGCTGTCATGGCTGCAACTTTGTGATCAGAATCAGCTTTGTTGGCCAAGCATGTAAACACATAGAAGGAATTTGACTCAGTTTTTTTCTTCTCTCTATGAACTTAGACACTTCAAAGTCTTCACCACATATATTCTGAGTCTGGACAGACACTGATGTTTACTGCAGCTTCACTGGTTGTCTTGGCCTTGAGGCTGTAATTCTGTTTTTTTTCTAACTTCTATTTAAAGGTGTTTCGGACCATCTGAGGAAATCAACTCAAATACAAAATTATGCAGCAGCTGGGAATTTGTACTCTAATATGTATTTAAATTTCAGTGCCTTCACCTTTCTACTTTTAAACTGATGACCACTTTTTTTTTTTTTTTTTCTACCACTTCAGTTTCAGATGTTGCACAACAATATGAGAACCATAAGGCTGATGTAACTTGAATTCCACCCGCTTGGTTGTGTGTGTGTTATTTGTAATGAAAAGAGAAATTGTAAATAATTGAAAGCTCAGAAGAACAAACCTCAGTAAGGGTGATGCGGATGCTGTAAATCTGAGGAGATGAAAGCTTGAGAGAAATGAATGACAGCGCATCTCAGGATTTTTGTCAGTTGGACTCTCTGGCGTTTTTATAAAACTGTCCTAAACCCTCTCATCTATACAAAGGTGGTTGCCTCTGATGGGGACATGCTCCTGATGATTTCCCCAAAGACCATTAAGGTCCGCTAAAGAGAGTAATCATAGCTGCAAACAGACTGGAGTTCGATCAGAGCCTGTGCAACTCTCTCACACACACTTTCTGTTATCGAATTGAACTTGATAACAACCTCAAAAAGTTGAAACTGTGGAATGTTTTTTTTTTTTTCCTCCTTTTTCTCCTGGGAGTCTCTGTAGTGTACACAATCGTTCACTGTCACACAAAATACCCGCTTGTGTGGAACACAGCTTCTAAACACACCGCTCTGGTAATTTACCAGCTATGTCGCATCTGTTTGAAACTTTCTGCTGAAAAATAGTTGACATTGTCAAAACAAACACTGATGTCGTTTTTGTGTCTAACAGTACTGAATAAATCCGTCTTGTATTTCCTGCTAGCACTATGATATGTCAGTGATGCCATGGTGATAGTTTTGTGTTCTTGTTTGTTGTGTCCACAGCTTTATGTGGCTACAGTAGATCAACAGTCTATTTTCATGTTAACCTGTCAGTCAGACTGACCCTGAAAACACTTGATTTCCTGTTTGGACTGTGTGTTAGTTGAGTCAGGAGGTTAATATACCTCCCCATCAGGGCTGACAACTGACTGCTACCTGCTTCTTTACTCTCGTCACTCCTTCCCTTCCTCTGCATCATCTTAACTCTCCTTCAGATTACTTACCTTGCTACACGCATACTTGAAATATTGCTGGTTCTTTGATCTTGTTGATGTTTAGTATGAGGCTGATGCTCATACCTAATGTATGGAGCTTGTGTCATTAATTGTGCCTCCCGTCTGGTTGACAGGTGATGGAGTATGAGAACAGGATAAGGGCTTACTCAACTCCAGACAAGATTTTCCGCTACTTTGCCACGCTGAAGGTCATCGGCGAGCACGGGGATGCTGAGGTTTACATGACGCCTCAGGACTTCATACGCTCTATCACACCTAATGAGAAGCAGCCCGAGAGTAAGTATCTTTCTCACCCTACACCACCTTTGCCTAATCTTTATGCAGTGACATATTTACATATTTACTGGCATACTCAAAATCATTTTACTCCCTATTTTATGTGTTTGGAACTGACGACTCAAGCTAAATCTAATCCTGCGCTCTCAATTTTAGTCCCAAATACACCCTGAAAATCTTGCATGTGTGACAGTACATGCTTGAGGGTTGTTTATGGTCATCACTGTCAAGGGTGAGATGTTTCCAGTTAGAGATCATGTCACTCCGCAGGCAGAGCATTACCCAACACCCCTTCCCCTGTGTTCTGTCCAGCTACAGGGACACTTCACACACGCCTGGCAATTCTGGACTTGTGACAGTTCGCGGTATAACGATACCACTGACTGTGAAATATGGAAGGGGGAGGGGTGAAAGGGCTGTCTGATCACGCTGAGTTGAGGGACTCACGACACAGCAGTTGCTATATCAATTAACGGGTTTAAACCAGAGCAGATCTCATGCGTCACACATGGAGCCAGTAAGAGATATTTGATCTTCAGCCATGGGAGGGCTGTAAAGGCAGCAAGCTTAACTTGGACCGCACCATTCTTGTCTTTATCGGTCATAATTATTCAACATGAAAATGTAGTTAGATTCCTGTGACATTTTATTGGATGGGAGTATATTAGCCTCCATCACAGACTTGCGGTTGAACTCTCAGAATGTGAGGGTTGTTACTTCTGGAGCATTCATTCACAGGAAAGGAGTCAAGCCAGCAGTTAACACCGCATAAGGACTTATCTGGGCCTGTCACGTCTATACTGCCTTTCCTGCTCACCTCGGTACTTCCATCTGTTAATCATATTCAAGACTTCACCTAGCTTGGCCCCCAATACTTAGTCTGTGCCCTCCTTCCCCATGTCATGAGTCCCCAGCTCTTCATTTCTTTATCTTGCCGTTTGCCCTCCCAAACTGGAATTAAACTAATGAAGAACTGAGCTCTGCTGCATAAGCGAAGGTTCAGCAAAGCCGATGAATGAGCCAAGAGAAACTAGAGTTTACAGCCATTTCACTCTGTTCTCAAAGCCCTCCAACTAAGTAAGCTTAACCAACAGACTGCCATATCAACTAAATCTGAGCTGCTGATAACAAACTGATATATTAGTCTGCTTTTAGTATTTTAATGCACAGCTGATTTTCCGGGCCAGAGATGATGAATTATCTACAAATGTGATAAATTACATATAAGATGGTTTTATCTACCCTTTCATTTTGAATTGTCCACTTTGATGGGACCTGGAGATACAACGAGAGAATAGTTAGAACAACTGCATCCCAGCTGAGACATGGCATAATACAATTCCCAAACCAGACAGTGTAGCCTCAAAGGGGCTAATAGTAATGGTGATTCCAGGTGTTCTATGTCAAATTGTGAAGTAAAATTGTGAGTTTTATGGTGCAACCTAATGGCTAAAATGCAGTTTGGTTTGACTCCTGGCCAGATAGATTTTTGCTGCATGTGATTCCCCTACTGTATTTCCCTCCTTTTTCCATCTATCTTTACTGCACTATCTTGAAAAAGGTAAAATGCAAATTAAATTAAAGGTAAAAAATGAATTATGTGATTTTTATGACCAGGATGTTTCTCCTAATAAAATTGGTGTTGGTTGGGCAAGTTGTGTTTATTAAAATTTGGTCAGAAGAAGGCAGCTGATTTCATGTCAAAGAAGTCTTGAAATGGGACAGACGTTGTTTGTTCATGAAGTGTGGGCTTTAGTTCAGCTATCCAGCTCTGGAATAACGACTCTCTGTTGATGGTGGTAATTGACCTGCAGTTAAATCAGCAGAAGGCTATTTGCAGAGGTCTTGGTTATGATTAGGTTTCCTGTAATGCTGATAAAGCCAACTTCAAATAAAATTATGATATTCACTTAATTAGTGTTTAGTTTAATAAGATTATAATCCAAGAAACTCTCCCTTAAATTAATCTTATTTAAGACTGCTTTGACAGGTCAGTCTTCTGTGTAATGTGAAACACCTTGTGTGACTTTCGCCCTGTATAGCAATGTATGCTTCGTCATATAGCAGATGGGAGTCGCTGCCTTACACAAGATTGAGAAAATAATCACCTCAACCAGGGAAATTTGTTGTTTGGAAGGTCTGCTTGTCTATTTTACCCCAAATTCATGTCCTCTCCTCACAACTATATTTGAGTTTAGTAAATTGTGGGCAAAGTCACATTTTATCCTTCTTGTCCTTGCAGAGAGCAGAATTGTAATAAGCAACAAAATGAATTAATGGCTTTTGCATAGAAAGACATGACATACAAATAAACCGAGTTTAATAGACTTACCGACCAGTGCACAGTAAAAGCTATTCATTTTCAACTTGTCTATAACTGCGCTTCACTGAGGTGATTATTAGCACGATATAATGACATTGATTTATAATAAACCCGGACACATTGTGACACTCATTTCAAGCTATACTGTATATGAATACACATAATAGATACTGTTGATCTTGGTTTGTGCTGCTGACCTGAATCTATAAAATATATCCATGTTTGAGAACTGTGTGGTAACTGATGATCTGGACTGTCGAAGCTGAATGCTGATGATTGTTTATTTTAAAGAATTGGCTAAATGGAAATGCGTTGCTAATGACTATTATTAATCTCCAGCACATACCATTGATTACCAGAGGTTCGGTAATGACAGCAAGTAAATATAATTGCTCTGCTTCATGCCAGACATACATCTTGTTGCCACTGTGTGTTGAACTTGTTAGAATATTGTCTCATGTCTCTATTTATTTCTCCCTGTCTCTTTTTCAGATCTAGGCCTGGATCAGTTCATTGTGAAACGCTATGACGGGAAGGTAAGAAGTGGGTGTCTTGGTGGTAAAGAAGATTTATCATGCATGTCAGAAGGAGGGGGGTTTATAATTATTGCTTAGTTTAGTCTTTTTGAAATAGCGATTGAGGGATATTGTAAATATATTCTAACCTAAATGAATATTTAATTTCCTCAGAAACCTGTGGGCTAATAATGTACTATGAGACTTTCTTTTTTTTTTCCCACTACACAGCTTGCTAGTTTCCTAAAGGGGGTTTATTCCCACAATGACCAGTGTGAAAAAAAAAATGTCTTAAAGAATCAGTTCATCCAAAATGCAAAATCCAAATTTTCTCACTTAACCTCAATTCCCTGTAGTGGTGTCTGGCCATTCAGATAATTTCAGTTTTATGTTCTGAGGTTTTGAGATATCTGCCTCTGAAACTTCTGTCGCTACCCCAATACAATGGAGGTGTTAACGTGCTGGAAAGCACTGGAAAGCATTTAGAATGACGTATTTTTAAAAAAAAATAAAAAATAAAAAATAGTAAGTGGTTCTAAGTAAACTCAAAATTCAGAAAAAAATGCTAAAATTATTAAATACCTTTTAGTAAAGTTATTTTTTCATAATCTTATCAGAAATATTTCTTTTTTATTTTTATAAATGTCTTAAAACCAGAATATTGATTCTATTTTCGTACAAAAAAGATAGAGGAAATGACATCTGCACTTGATAATCAGGCTTTATAACTCCAGAATACATTAAAGGTTTTATCTGTTCATAACTTTTGGTATTAAAATATGCCTACACAGGGAAAGAATTACAAATGAGGTTATGAAGTGATAGTCTTTTTTTTTTTTCAGTGCAGTAGTGTGAATGAACATGAAAGTAAAACTGAGACATTATCTCTAAAAGAAAAATAATCAGCATCAACTCACAGGTCAACTTACAAATGCTTATCAAGACATTTATGTGTACACTGTAAATTCACTAAAACTGTTGATTAGATCATTTTTTAGCATCTTTTTTTTTTAAACCAGTTTATGTGTATCTTTTGTTAAATATCAGTCTTTATAAATTTTATATTGTATAAAAACACTGAAATTCTTAAGTGCCATATAAATCTAGCCACTGCATTCATTCATTTATCTTTCAGGCTGAAATGGCATTGAAGGAAGTGCTTTAGTGCAACTAGAATTATGTGCGACTGGAGATGATAAGTCGTTGTCATAGAAATAAACACATTTTTCAGGGACAGTGGGGATGCAGCACTGTAAAGGATGGCACATGGAAAGAGATAGTGGAGAAAATGGAAAACACATTACATTCAGCAAAGAATACAGGAATGAATAGCAAAAATCCACATGCGACTGATAAAAGCGCTAATGTGATAAATGTAGCTAGTATTTCTGGGTTATTTGGTTGTTTGTTTGTGTATTCTATTTATTTCTGTTGATACCTAGTAAAATGTGCATAAGTTAATTTTATATTAAAATATGCAACAGTGTCAAAGATGATTTTAAAGTGGAAGACTGTGTTTTTCCACTGCACTGTATATTGTGTACTCTATTTTTCATTGCCTGTGTCTTTGCCTTTGGTCTAGCTTTACTGTCCTCTTTGCCTTTTGCTTCTGAACTAATAGTCTGAATCATTTGCTTTCCAAATATTGTTTGAGCTCTAAAACTTTAGAAAAGGTTTTAAAGGGCAATGAAAAAAAGAGATGTCTTCAACCTGTGGACGGATCCTTTAACCATCTGCCTTTCATCTCAAAGCATTCACTTAATTAAACCTAGAAAAGCATGGCTCTTTACCAGAGCACCTCCACACTTAAGAGGAGCTGGAATAAGAACATGCACAAAGTGAGCCTGCTCGCTGTCTAATGACCTTTTTAAAGACAATGACAGCAGGTGAACCTTAGTCCCCATGGCCACAGATTGACTAAAAGGAGCTAGTCTGTGTGCTCTAAGTGATTACATTTCTCAAGTCACAGTCAGAAAAAAAGAAGCCATAAATAAAAATCGCCAACATCATTATTTTCATAACTGCTTTCCCCAATATTGATTTGTGATTATCACTGCCCCCTCATCAATTTCAGAGAGTATCTTTCACACCCAGTAGCCGACCATCCTCATTCTTTTAGTATTAGCTAATCATCAGCGTGATAATTGTAGTTTCTAACCTCATTACAAAATTCGTCTGGCCCCAGGTTGGTAGGAGTCTTTACCTAATTCCATATTATAGTCAGATGAATCGTACAAAGTCAGTGAGGCTGAAGAGAGACTGCAGTCCATTTCATTTCATGAGATTATTTTTTAACTGCCTTGACTGCCCTATCTGCAGTTCAGTTTTACCCAGCATTATGTTTTGTGAATGATTCTCCAGAATGTTTACTCGCCCATATTTCAAAAGTCTATTAACTAAAGGGCTTGGGCTGTACACTAATTAAAAGTAAAAGTCAAAATCCGTGGCAGGCCAAAATCAAAATGGAACAGTCTTCATTTATGGCCCTTGTCGCTTATGTAAATGCCATCCTTATCTGTAGGCCTCGTGTTTCTTTATTTGCTATGCAAATCTTCTGACACACGAGTCTGTCTGGTACTGTATTTAGCTTTGCTTGTCCCCTGAGATTTTGCTGCCATGGCCAGAGAGGTCCCCTCCCTCCCTGGATCTGCTCAGCCCCCTTTTCGCCCATAGATACGTGCCCCGCTCTCATTGGTTTAATGGGCACATCTAACTAGTCGGAGGATGAATAAACCACCACTGCCAACAAGCCATGAAATCTAGTTCACGCGAAACTAAAAACTGCAATGAATTAGACCTAGATGAAATGACCACGGCGAGTATGAAGGTGCAATATATGTAGTGTGTAAATCATGAAGTTGATGGAGGATGTGGTGAAGTCAAAAGGGATCATTTCAGCTGGGGGGTTGGGTGGTAAAGAACGATGGAAACTGAAGTCGATGGCAGAGAGCAGCACAGTACTGTGTGAGAATAACATGAGCGCTCTTTTAAAAGACCTCTGTGTCTCACTTCCCAGGATTTAGTTTAAAAATAGCCACGGCAACTCAGATTGTCACATACGTACTGTTTGGCCACAGTTAAGTGGAATAATAAGTACAAGTGTAGGTATTGTAAACCACTCACTTCATTCCTCTCTCCGCCCTCTCCTGCTGACACTAATTTGTTCCAGGTTCAGTCTGTATGCAATCCAAACATCACGTGCCTAACAAGGTTGACAACATGTGGCTAACAACTGTTCATATTAACTCAATCATTTTTTTCTCCATGTTTATGGGAACACTACGGTAGTCCTTAAATGGTAATACTTGTATTGACTCAACAAATTGTGACATTGCGCCTTTTCTTTGCGATTAATTCACTCCATCGCTGTGATTTCTTCTCCTACCTTTATCATGTGGGCATGCTTTCAGCAGCCGTATTGTTGATGTGACGTTGTCGTTAACTGTTGATTATTCTATCATGCTCTTATCAACCATCCTCTCTCATTCGCATAACAATTAATCCCTCCATTTTCTCTCTCTTCCCCTCCTCGTGAATAATCATCATTCTCAACTCCCCGTCTCCCATTTTTTCTCTGCCTCCCCCCCGAATTATTCAATCTACTGATCCCCCGTTCTCCTCCCCCTCCCTCCTCCTCCTCTGTCTCCCTCCCTCCCTCCCTCCCTCCTCGTCTCCTTCCCATTCTGCCCCTCCCTCTCTGCAGGACTTCTGGCAGGTATGGGGTGTGTGCCGAGCAGCATGTGTGCACCTGAATGAAAAACTGCACTTTGTAGTCACTACCTACTCCCTTCTTCTTCCTTTATACTTTTTTTCCCCTCTTCTCTCTCTGATGGCTCTCTATTTTTTTTCTGTCTTTTGATTACTTACTCTCTTTCTCTCTGTAGTGACATGGAGGGCATAGCTATTCACTGTTGTTAGTTCAGGGGAACGGCTAAGTAAATAGTTTTTCTGTATTTACCACATCTCAGCTATAGCAAGACCAGAGTCATAGCCTCAGTTAGGTTTACAACTGCTATGGACAGGAGAGCAGCCAAACTGTGCATTTAATATATACATTTTCTCAAAAGAAATCTGTGGATTGCTAGTAAATGCAAAATTTACATCTGACTTTACTCTGACCCTCTAAATCTGCTGTAGGATTTGTACACTGTCTGACATCACACCATTGGAAGCAGAATAAAGCACCACCACTGTAATTATGTATAATAAGCAGATTATGTCATGGTCATCGAAAGTATTTGTTACTAATTGACTGGTCATCAGTTTACCCACAGTGCACATAATCTAATAGTAGCTTTGCTGCTAACTAGGAAATAGAGCTGTTTCAGTGTTAACGACTTAAGACATTGAGGTTAGTGTGCAAGTATTTGTCACATCTTAATTTTAAGTAAAACTGCAAGACTGCAGTTTCAAAATTTCTAATGCGCACGTTCATGTCGGTGAGTGTAGATAAATGAGCCCTGACCTATAAGCTATGTCTGCTGAATGATCTGTCCTTTAAGCAGGGTTGAATGCCTCTGTCAGTCAGGATGATATGAAGATAAGTTAAGCGCAGGAAAGGGCAGGCTGCAACCTGTTCACCATATAATTATCGGGAGTGTCATGAACTGAGGTAGACACGCATCACATTGTGTGTGCGCTCGTATCAAATAGGCAAACTCAAACTCTGTGTTGTTATTGGGCATTGTGTTGGAGACCTTCCCAGTGCCCTTTGTATAGCTTGTCAGAGGCAGCTGCATACCATGCCTTCCCTGCTGAATTATTGAAAGTGAAGACTATACTTTACCTCGACAGGGATTATTAAACGCTGCAGCACTGCTGCATAATTTATATTATACTAGTCAGTCCCCCAATGTAAAGTTCACACACATTTATACCTGAATTTTATGAAGAAAGTTAAGCCTTGCAAAGCTGAGATGCAAAGAGCAGCTACAATAATTAATTTATGGAGTATTGGTCCATGCCAAATCATAGAAGAGCTGTTCCCCTGCACTCCCTCTATCTTGCTTTACCAACACTTTTTCCTCCTCATCTTTTCATTTCTTCTAAGAAGTATCAGCTGTAGCTTTTCACATGCTTTGGCGCTCTAGCCGCTATCCCAGCATGCATTGCTCTATTGCCTGTGTCTCAAAGAGAAAGTAGCTGGTGGTGGTGCCCCCTTTCTGCGCATGGTGGCATCACAGGGTGGTTTTGGACCCAGGAAATGGCTCTCTTAGCTGATGTCAAGGCTGTATTGATGTGCTTGATAGCCTCCACAAATCCATCCTCTGGATTGTCCAGATGTCAGTGCTGCATGATATCTGTAGAGCATGGTTTAGAGATACTGAAGGCAGGGCTTGGTCTGTACATCTAAAATGCATCCAAACTGTTCCTACATGCTGTGGCCCTCTCTGTTTGAAAAGCCACACTGTCTTCAGCGTGACCTGCTGTGACTGAGCGCGGACACCTGTCACAGAGGGACTGTGGATGGGGCTGCTGCTGTGGAAACAAGCCACTTGTCACACCAACTGTTTTCATGTTCACCCTTTCTGATTTCACAGGGAGCTCTCAGGGGCCACTGTTTGGACTGTCACGGCTCTGTTTTTTTATTTTTTTAATATCCTCACACTATCTCCGATTCTCGTGTGCTTTCTGTGACCCCTCTCTTCGGTGTCTGGAAAACCTCACACTTAAACACACAGATCGTCTCTCTCTTTCTTTCTCTCTCTTTTCTAATCAATTAGAGGTTGGATTGTCTGTAAATTTGGTCAGCTAATTCAGTTCGCCCTTTCCCCTTATGAGACAGCTGCCATTCCTCGGCGAACAAAATGTGTTTATTAAGTGTTCCACATCAGCAGGCATTATTCTGAATGTGCTGCCTGCATAATTACAAGTTATTAACGGTACACCTGCTTTGTGGTTACCGCTGGGACCTAGAGGTAGAAAGCTAATTCAGTAATGTTCTCGCCACCTCCACACCTGCCTGCCCACCTATAAACTTGTGGTGTTTTGGTCCCAAGGTATTATATGATACAAGGTGAAAATCTTTTCGCTTGGCCGCTCTCGTGGTCATGTATGTGTATGTGTTTCCTGTGGCCAAATCCCTAGAACAGAATCATGGAATGTTTGCAGTTTTCTTTGGGGCTTTATGAGGACCATGCCCTAAATGTATGTCTTGCAGCACAGGGCAAGTGCATTTACACACTTTCAGCCAGCATTCAGAAATGTCAGGCTCAGACCTTGAATGTTTCTACCCACAAGCAGGTCATTCTGAGTTCCGTTTCCCCTGAAACTCACAATTTTTATTGTACCTGCCAAAGTGACAGTAACCCCAGAGCTACCACATCACACAAAGTGGCAGCAATGACTTAAAGAAACTGATTCATTTTTAATGAATTTCTTCCTCACATTCTCTCTGCCTTCTCAATCATTGTACCTTGTCTGTCTGTCATACTGTAGACATCTCCCTCTTTTTTTCCCGTCAGTTTGTGACTGCACGCTAGTAGGCCAAGGTCTGTTGAGATTCACCTGTGCAAAAGATGAGAGGTCACTCTGGGACAGGCATCACTCAAGTACATGCGCACTCACCACGCAGCATGGACAAAGGGAGTGGGAGCAAACTCCTTCTCCTTGCTGCCTCAGCTTTTCATCTTCAGAGGCAGATCACAGCCTAGACCCATAAATTCGTCTTTGTTGGGCCACTTAGAGGACACTGCGCAGACAATATCTTAGAAAAGTCATTTTATCTTTAGTGTGATAATTAAAATTTCAAAGTTAGAACAGTCCATGCGGCTAATATCACATTCTTTCATCATTCACTTCCCTCTTTTCCCCTGTTACCACGGTGTCTGCTGCTGCAGTGTTGGACAGGGTCACAGATCCTATCAATAACAAAGCACTGCAGCTGGTACAGTGTTTTTAGTGAGGGCCAAGTCTAAGTGGTCATCAGCTTCTAAGCCAGGTGCCTGGTCATCGAGTGATAGCATTTTTAGCATTCAAATATCCATGCAAGTGGATTGCAAAATAGTGTGCTGAATTATGTCTCATTTCAATCACAGTTGCTTCATCAGCTGCCTGTTTTCTTTTGTTTTGACGTGATGGCACAGGATGTCAGAATGTTAGCTCTGTAACCAGCACAGCTGTGATATGATTGAACCCATCAGAACAGCAGTGCCATATGGCTTATTCAATTATGTAAAATAGTTCATATTACATATGTTTGGAGTTCACAGAAAGCCACCAAATAAGGATGATTTATTACAGCTTTGATCGTGTGTCAGAGACATTTAAAAGAATCTAAAACTTTGTAGGCAGTCTAAGTTTTTAACTGTGTCACTTTTAATAGTGTATTTAAAAAGTGTTTGTTAAGCACTCATGTGAAATGATTAGAAGGAAATTTAGCCCTTGCATGCATGCCTCTGACTGTGCTTCACTTGGCTTGTATGGGTCTCATTTGTTGGCATTTTAAAACTAGGCGAGTTGAAATTTTGCCAGGACAGCTATTGGGCTGCTCTTTAGCCTAGTGGTCTGGAGAGATTAGCCCTGACCAAACCTGTAACCTTGTCTGTGTGTATATAGTCTCTCGCACTGACAGCGTTGCGCAGAATGCATAGTGTGTATATGACAGCAGTACATTTCACTGCCCTGCCGCCAGCGCCGTTCAGCCAGCAGCTCTGTCAGCACTGGGTTTCTGCCTCAGCTCACAGGCTAGTTGGGTTGTTCAGTTTGTCATCTGGACACAGCCCGTGGACTTGCCCATAACGTAGCTGGCACATGAAGACATGTGTGAACACATGACCCAGCTTAATATGGATATTTTAAAAGAAATCACACTCAAGCATACAAACCACCAGATCGCACACAAAATCAAGTGTTCGCTTGTAATTATTTTGTGTGCTGCAGCAATTAGTTTCACAGTCATTTGAAGATCAGTGCATTGGGAAAAATCCATGATGAGTGGTAAATACCGACCAGAATATAGTTGGGATCTTTTTAGTAATTTCAGCAGAATGTTTTAAAGGCATAATGCCCTCTTGTTTGATGAATCAGAACTGATGAAAAAGACTCAGTCTGTCTGTGAAATCGAACAACCTAATAGGGATGTCCTGTAGATAAAACTTTTTCTGTTTTTCTATATCCTATATGCATTTTTGTAATGCTGAATGGCTTGTTCTCGCAGCACCTAATATTGCATATCTTGAGTCGGGAGTGGAATCTTGCACCGGTAACAAAAAGATAGAGGATGAAGGGGAAAACTGCATGATCTTACAACACAGGCTCCATGGGGAAAAAGCCAATAAGGAACAAGCAGCACAACCTGACATACACACTTCCACACCTCTGTGTCTGCTTTAGAGAGTGTAGTGTTACATCATACACTTGTTAGAGAGATGTACAGTAAGATAGCACACAGTGTATGTGAGAGAGCAAGAGAGTGAAAGCTTTGCTGTCAGGTTATTGTCAGTGAAGAATGTGGTTACAGAGTAGGATCCTAAAGGAGAGAATTATGTTCATTTCTGACTGGGGCTGTATCAGGGTATACTCTGTGTTTGTTTGTTCTCTTTTTTTGTCAAATGAATGAGCTTTTTGGGTCCACTTTGACCATTACATATGAATTTGTTTTCTTTTTTCTTTGGGGGTATTTTTGACCTTGACTCAGGACACTAAAAAAAGTGAGCTATTATGCCTAATGTGCTCTGTGCCTCTGTTCAGATCATTATAATGAGGCCCAGTGTGGTTATGCCTCCTGTGTGCGTGGCTGTGTCGCTGCCTGTGTGGGCGTGCTTGCCCACTAAAATACACACTTGTGTTGTTGTGCGTGCTTCGTCTCTGTTTTGTGGACTGGCATTGGGACTCTGCCTCACCTCAGGCCAAGAGGGTGTTCTCTGCGTATAATTGCTGCAAACCTAGGGGCCAATACCAACCTCTTTTACTCTCACCACTATCACTATCACTTTTTGCTCTTTGTTTTTTCTATATGCATGCACCTGTCTCTTTCGAGTACCCTCTCACACTCACACCTGGAAGCCTTTAACTCTTGAAGTACAATTTTGCATTTTGGTATTGCTTTGTCTGTCACTTTGTCTCCACCAGAAACAGAGTTTGAAAAATAATGTTTTTCTCTTTTGACCTCCCCCTTCTCTCTCCCACTCCCTTCTCTTATACGTTGATGTTAATGCACCAATGATATGTGTCATGAAAGAAAAGTGTTTTTTTTTTTCACATATATATTTATTTATCAGGAGAGACATGAATTGGGGATAGTGATGCATTTTTATCAGCTCATATCAATTGTCCTTAGAAGACATTATGCAGCCTGTATCATATGAGGAGGGAGTCGGTTCATGGGGAAAGAATGTAAAAGAATTGCTATGCTATAAAGGGGGTTGGCACCAAATTTTCGTGTTCTTATGTTTTGTGCTCAGCATCCAGCTCTGGCGATAATACGTAATGGAGCTGCATCAATTCAGTTCACTTCAGTTGAAATGCTAATTGTAATCACAAACTCCAGAGACCACAAGACATAACTGAATCCTTAATTTTGAGTGTCATCCCCCAATTATCTTGTTTTGAACAAGATGGTCTATGTATGTGTGTGTGTGTGGGCTGTTTGCAACAATGAATGCACATGCGTGTCTTTGTCATTCAAGGCCCTGCTAAAGACAGCAGAGGCCACGATGTTCTCTAACAGTTGTTTCTCCTCCCTCATCCTCCTCTGAAATGGACCCCTTTACAGACGGAGGTAACTCCACGTGGGCCCAGTGTGGCCCAGGCTTCACCTCCCCTCCTCTTCCACCACCCCTTCTCTAGGCATGCTCTGTCCATCTGTTCGGTGGAGCGTCCTGCTAGTGGGACACTGTCTTTCAACTCTTTATCACTGAGTGTGTTGTATGCATGTGATTTAAGCCACACTTTCATGCAATGCTGTCAATATACACATGCTAACAGCAAAACATCAAGTTAACTGTGCGTTTGTGTGAAAGAGCGTTCAAGTCACTTTGTTTTTTAATGATTAATACAGTAGGTTTGTGTTACAGATATGTTTGATCAATAGTGTGTGTTTGTGCTACAGTCTCTCGTGATGTTTTCCCTCTCTTTATGTCAATTTCACACTGTGAGTACAGCCTCTGGTGGATAATGTGTTTTGTATTCGAACTGACCACAAACTAATTGTTCCTCACTGCCATCCTCACCTGCCTGTATGGCTTCATGTGTATGCAGCACTTGCATGACTGTTACTGTAATAACCTATATGTATGTATATATGTATATACATAACCATCCTTCTGTGCTGTGACTTTTTCTAATGTGTGTGTGTGTGAAAGAACAGTATGTGTGTAGATTTTTGTGCTTGAGCATAGCCAGTCTCTGATTGAGCTGTATTCACGGACACACACATACTTGCTCGCACACACACACATACACACACACACACACACATACACACACACACACTGTGCCACAGCTGTAGAAGCTATAAGGCTTGTGCTGAATAATGTGAAATGTTTTTAATATAACTTTTTTCCTTTTTGTGTCCTGGCCTCAATGAGCAGAAGATTGCCCAAGAGAGAGAGAAGTTTGCAGATGAGGACAGCATATTTTACACACTGGGAGAATGTGGCCTCATCTCCTTCTCTGACTACATCTTTCTCACCACCGTGCTGTCCAGTAAGTACATTGTTGAACTGTGCAGGCTGCCTAGAAATCAAATGGCTCATATGACTCATCTCATTCAATCCCACATCCTTTAAATCTTATGCATTGATCACAAATCAAATCCCTCGATAATCTCTTCCGTGTCTTCTTTGCTCTTGGCTTTCTTACTGTGTCAGCTAAGACAGAAAGTGAAAAGGAGTGAAATTTTTTTATATGATATTATAAACTGGGTTAAAGCAAGCTTCCTGTTCAGAATGATGTGATTCTGTCAAAGTTAATGTGGCTGGCTTCTTTGGTGATGTTGCATTTCACAGAATCAGTTTGTTTTAGCTGGTTCAAGGGAATAGATTGCACATTAATGCCTCTGCTCTGAATATGTCAGAGTTCGTGGTAATGAAAATGAATCTTGACTCTTTCCTCTCCAGTGACTAGTAAACTTTTATCCGCAGCTTAGCTAGACCATTTATTATAATCCGTTCATATGGAGAAAGTCCCCAGGGAAGTTTTCAAGGACAAGTCATTTTTAAGCAGACAAGGCAGGATGCATTATGGTTGGTTTCAATCCATTTACCATGGCCACAAAAGAGCAGAATGGAGGATATATTTTGCCTACCAGATGCACACATTGGTTCAATCCTCAGAGGGGTACATATATGTTTACAACTATTGGGCGTCTATGGCTCAGGTGGTAGAGCGGCTCGTCCTCTAATTGCAAGGATGGCGGTTCGATCCTCTGCCACAGTTAACATGTCCTTGGGCAAGACACTGAACCCGAGGTTGCTCCCAACGGCAGGCAGCTTGCATGGCAACACTGCCACTGGTGCATGAATGTGTATCTGCTTTCAGATGTACATCCTTTGGATAAAAGCATCTACTTAATGAATTTGTAACTGTAATTTTTGTGCGGTCTGAATCCTTTGTCAAAGAAAAGGTTAATCTTTAGTATTTCCATAAAGGTGTTGGGTGTTTAACGCAGTAAATCGTGTTAGTAGTCAAAATTACTGTAAAAATGTGAGCGTCAAAGAATATAATATCATGAAAGAGTTTAATGTTTCATAGATTATTATTTTGGTCTAGGAATTACACAGATAAGTCAAAACATTGTGACCACCTAAGATGATCGAAATAGTTAACTGATTATCTCACATGTTTAATAAAAGTCCAATTGTTAGAACCAGATGAACGGCTTGGAGCATCACAAAAACATGTGGGATGCTCTTGGGCACCAGTAGTGAGTACCTACCTAGAGTGGTCTGTGGAAAGTCAAACCATGAGCTAGTGGCTGGATGTAAGGGAATTGCTGGAAGAAGCCTGATCGGAGGCAGCTTCCAAATTATAGTGTTTAGGTGCTGTGTCCTGGAACTAGATACTACAGGACACCTTCAGAGGTGTTATAGAGTCCAGGTCTCAGCAGGTCAGAGCTGTTTGAAGGCATTCGAAAGGCTAACAGCATATTAGGCCGGGTTGATTATAGTGCTTTGACCCTCTGGTGTATATAGCCCTTGTATACGTAGTCCCTCAACATAATACAATCTAGATAACTTTTCAAAAGCAAGCAGCTCTGTCTAGAGATAATTAATTTTAGGAGTTATGGTCTGGATATTTTAATAAAGCAAAAAAATGAAGAGATGCAGTGTGTGTGTGTGGGTGTGTGGATGGGTGGATATATATATATACACACACACACACACACACACACACACACACACCTTAAATAGAATTCTGCCAGTGTAATTTATGGGTGTTGTATTTGAAATAGAAATATGGCTGTGGAGTAGTTATAAATGTTAAAATGACATCACTAAAACAAAATTTACTGACTGTGGTCATGTTGTCATTACAAGTAAGTACTTGTTGTCACTGAAGTGCAGAAAGTGTGCAGACTGGAGACAATAGAGTAAATATATCTTCATATATTACTGATGCAAATGCTGTATTCAAGCTCATACAGAGTGCAAAATCTGTTCTAGCGGTCCCACTGTTTGCAGAGAGTGGGGCCGATTGTGTCATAACTGTTGTGTGGTCGGATGCCTATTATCCCTGTGTGAGGCTTCGTCTCACCCCTGTGAGGTAAAGGCTGAAGAGCCACACAGCTGATGTGTAATGATGAGTCAGTATTGAACTCTTTAGCTTTTGTCTGGGTCGATCCACCATGACTGTTGTTTTCATATTGTGATGGATTGATTTGCGAATGTGTCTCTTTGTGTGGGTTTGCCTGCTGCGGTGTCCAGCTCCCCAGAGGAACTTTGAGATTGCTTTCAAGATGTTTGATCTTAACGGCGACGGGGAGGTGGACCTGGAGGAGTTTGAGCAGGTCAGACTGTTACCAGCAGCACATTCTACATGCACAAGACACACACACAAACCTGCACATAACATATTAAAGGAGACAGAAGCTCAAAAGAGCCAACCCACATGTTTGGACTGTGCTTTAAGAGCTCTGATAGCATCTGATTGCATTGCAGTAACACACACTGACAGGTAGTAGAGGTAGGTTCCTGCACTGATCTCCATCAATGTGACATTTTCTCAAAGAGACGAGATAAGTGCTGTGCTCTGTCATCTGTGTTAATGGGTCTGGGTTTATCATATACAGTCGTACATGCACAGTATTATTCATGTAGAGAGTTTTATTCTTATACCTCATTATCTACAACAATGAACAGAAGATTTTTTTAAAATAGTTTCAACAGCTTTGAAATATGGCTTAACATATTGCTCTGTATACATCAAGCCAGTTTTAGCCAAATCTCTTAGGCTGTTTATTGTTGACCTTTGTCTCATTAAATATTTTTTTCTGCGCACCTTTGAAACCAGAAAATAAATGACTCCTTGTAAAACCTATGTGCACACTCATCCTGACTGACATTTGTAGGTCCAGAGCATCATTCGTTCCCAGACCAGCATGGGCATGCGACACCGTGACCGCTCCACCACAGGAAACACCCTGAAGACAGCTGGCTGCAGCTCTGCTCTCACCACCTACTTTTTTGGAGAAGACCTAAAGGGAAAACTCACCATTGGCAGCTTCCTGGAGTTTCAGAGGAAACTGCAGCACGATGTGCTCAAACTAGAGGTAATGAAAGAGGAGAGTCAATGAGTGAAAGTAGAGAGGAAGATTCTGTGGAGAGGTTTTCATCTACTGATTTACTGTAATATGCGTACAATTATAATTCATTATTTTGAATGTCACAGCTCTTCTCCAAGCTTAAATCTTTGTCTTAAGTCTCTCTGTGCCCATTAGGGACTGCAGAGGAAAATAAACAACTTTCTAGCAGGGTGGAAGTAAATCTTACTGCCCTTGTTGCATTTGCTCCCATAGAACTAACAAGTAAACTAAAAAATATTTGAGTCAGGGGAGAAGCAAGGAGGCAGTGACAAGTGAATGTTATGCAATAAACAGAAGAAAACAATACTGAGGATGACAAATTCCCTTTGTTGATAGCGTGTCAGCACTGGTCAGTGTCACAATCCGAAACCCTTGACAGTTGAATATAAAACCCATCTTCTGTCTCCTCGGAGTGACACCATGCCTCTACGGTAACAACAACTGATCAGCTTTGTCGAGCATATGGGAATGCTGTTAATTAGCGTGGGTAGTGCCTGATACACTGAAGCATAATGGTCATCTGAAGCTCCAAGAGTAGGACTCCAATCTGAGCATCTGCCAGCGCTATCTGTCAGGCCTTAATGATAGCACAGAGCTCAGAGAAGTGAAATCATAATACCACAGATAAGGCTGACATCATTTTAACATGGGTAATCTTATTCCTGAAGTGTTTTTTTTTCCCCCTCTCATGTGTTGGGCCTTTTTTTTTCAAACTGCTGAGGCTACAGCTCACCTTAGGCTATATTTCACCATCTGTAGCCATTGTTTTTGCTGAATGTTTAACTCATTCCCTCTCTAATTTTTGTAACTCTTGTAATACCCCTAGTTAATGAATTTGCAATCTGGTTTCAGGGCATAATATTTAGATTTTCTAAAGGCAAGAGGACACAAAGAAGGAGAAAACGTACTGTCTGTGTTCGATCTGTATTTCCACACATCATAAGGCAAAGATCCAGATCTACTATCTAGGACTGTAATGGAGTTTAGACATCATAAAGCATAGAGACTTGATGGGTGCATAAAAGGTCACGTCACATTTGAAATCTCTTCTTCTGGTTTGGTTGTGTGTTGCCTGCTGGAAGTGCGACAAATTAACGTTTTGAGGGGTCGACACATTAGGAGAAAGAGGGGAGTGAGTCGTGTGGCTGTCAAACATCCTCAGATATAAATCAACTATATTGACCTGACACAGCCAAAGCCCAGTGTTGTTAGGCCATCCTCCAGTGGAACGTTGTAAAAAAAAAAATGCACATGCAAATTTAATGTCACCAATGCCAGCTCCAAGCATGATTCAACGTGAAGCCTGACATCAGTATTTACTGTTTACGATCTCCCCATGCCCTCCCTCTCTCATTAATTTGTTTGTCCCACTACATAGCACTCAATCTCCCTATGTCTCACTCTTCTCCCCTACAGTTCGAGAGGAATGATCCTGTGGACGGCAGAATCTCTGAGCGACAGTTTGGGGGTATGCTGCTGGCTTACAGTGGCGTCCAGTCTCGTAAACTGAAGCAGATGCAGAAAGGCTTGAAGAAAATGTTTAAGGATGCACAGGTAGATAAATCTGACTAGTTTTATTCATGCTTAAGTGGAAATGTGAGACATTTGATGGGTACTCTGTGGTTTTTATGGTGTGTGATGCGGTGGTGTGAATGTTTTAACTAATTGGCCTACATGGGAGGAGGTGTGACAGACGGTGTGTGCCTGAGGGGAAAAAGAGATGGTGCTGGGACATTGTGAGTGTTGGTGAGAGGCGGAATGAGAGGTAATACATCACTGGCAGAAGACAGCACATCCAGTGCCTGATGGTATCCACCTGACCGACACTGACTCTCTCCACTCACCACTATCACAATTTCATGAGACCAAAGACAGAGCAGCCACTGCTCAGCAGAAGAGCATAAGTTAATCCCTCATCCCTCTCTCAGCTTTTCCGTAAGCTCTCTCTCTGTCAGTGTCTCCATAGCATTCCTTCCTTGTCATTTACTCCTCACTTTGTTTTACTTCAGAATGTGCAGTCTATAAAATTCTATAGTCAATAAAAAGTTTGACTTGTTCTTCACCTTTTACCGAACGCAGCCACATTGCTTTAAGCATTAAGGCTGAGCTCAAGCTACATGAGTCCTAACTGATTTTAAAATAGGGTTGTATTGCACCTAAGGAGAGACTTGACAGATATTCTTTTCATTCTAATCCCAAACGGGCACACACGAGATTTGAAAATAGTGGCACACTGCAGGATGTTTATAAGATTACTATGCTGGAGGGAGCATTAGGAGGCAGTGTGCCACCTCACGTGAGCTCATGGGGAAGCAGATGTAAACAAAATGGAGATGGTGTCACAGCAACTTTACTTGCTAGCATTAGCCTCAAATGTTTAGCGCTGCTTGACAACAGCCAAACAACAGCAGTTCAAGAGATTTAGCACTGGATTTGTAAATTCTTCACATGATCAAATAATCTCTTCAAGATCCTGGACTAGATTTCTCCTCGGATTGTCAGGAGAGATGAAACAGGTAAATCATCCCAAACCTCATGCAGTGTGAGCCCAGTCTAAAACGTCTCCACTGGAACAGACCAAATGGGTGAAAAACCTAAAACTACTGGAGCTGTAAAGGGTTATGAAGAGAACTTCAGTGTATGTATATCTGTCTCCTTTTTTCCAGGCTTTTACATGAACTCTGGCTTCATGCTGGTTCTGCTTCACTGTAACGAGCTCCATTAGTCAAGTGACTGAAGTTACGCCCATGCATATCGTATCCCGAGAGGTGTCGCAGCAACAACGTGTCACATTTCAGTTTTTCACATTCCAACATTTCAGTCATCGCAGAGTAGTTTGTTATTAAACGTTAAAGCACCACAGATGTCAGACCGGGCTGTGATAAGAGATGCTTAAATACAGCGATTAGCAGAGAAACAAAACAGAAAGCTGGGCTGAGGCTGTCCCTCCCAGTCATGATAAAAAGATGAGGCTGGTGCTGCCAGAGTTGTGTCTCTAAGGAATTAAACTGCAGTAAGCATCTCTCACTGTCTTTCCCTCTTTCACCGTTTACCCTCTCTTCTTCCATCCTGCTGTCTTTCTCAGCGTTGGCATTACCTGCAATGCAAATGACTAAAGTGTTATTTACTGCCCGGCACCAGCTGCTCACTTTTCTTTGCAAATGAGCTCATCAGCAGTGCAGCAGCTGTGTGACTGTTTGTACTTATATACTGTATGTGCATGTGTGTTTTAGACAGTCTGTTTCCCTGTCCATCTATGGCACACTGTTCATCCATGTGTGCCGAAAGCTTCTGCCCACTTCCTCTTGTCATTTGTGTCACACTGCTGAGCTGCTCCCACAAAGGGCATTGCGCAGTCTCAGCTCTTGTCATGACAATATTTGGCTCATTTATCACCAGGTTGCAATACTCTAATGGCCTAGATAAAACCGAAGGAATGATTTGTACCTGCTTTGTCACTGGGTTTTCCACCCAGACTCGTTTTTTTAATGTTTTCCACTCTTGTGCAGGGCATCACATTTGAGGAGGTGGAGAACTTCTTCACTTTCCTGAAGAACGTGAATGACGTGGACACAGCCCTGAGTTTCTACCACATGGCTGGAGCCTCTATAGACAAAGGTACACCCACATTCGCCCTTTTCCTTTGACATTCTCTCGATCCTCCTAATTACTCCCCTTTAGACTTAAACTGTTGTCACTTTCATCCTCTGCCTTTCAGAGCTGTTAACACTCAGCCAGCCAGATCTGCTTCCCACATCTTTTTTTTTTTTTTTTTTGGCCTGGCTTTGCTCCCAATCCTTGCTCAGCCATTTGTCATCTGTTTGTCCATCCGTCCATTTATCTACCTTCTTTTCCCTTAGGCCTGCAGGAGTATGCATATTTAAATTTAAGAACCACTCATGCACACACAACAGATCACTTCCTACTTACGTTGCAGGATAGTGATGCCCACTGACACGTGCCAACATCATCAGTGGGCCAGTGACTTGGCTGACCCATCATTGAAGGGCAGCTCTTTCCCTCCTAAGCTCCAGGGCAATGTATTTAATCTGCAGGCTGGAGACTGGTGGGAGACAGGAAACAACAGTACAGTTATTAATTGAAATTGTAGTTCTTAGGATTATAGTCCTGATTGATTTGGGGACACCTATAGTTACAGTGGTAACGGCAGATATGGCATAATACTGCAACAAACACTAAGTGTAGTCACTTTGTATGTAGTGATACAACAGGAGAGCAACTTTTATATCTGATGACAGTAAGATATTGGCGTTCTCTGTACTATACCATGGAGTAAGTGCTGTCAGATTTTGTGTTGCACACAGTACACTAGCAGTTGTTCACACATTAGCAGGATACTTTGAAAGATTATTTACCTTACAGAGGAGATGGAGGTGTCTGTCACTTCAACTGCAAACTCTTAATCTCAACACCACGATTTTCATCTTAAAGTGGGTTTTCATTTTCATTCTCTGGTCATTGACTTAACCTCTAAAGCTCAGCTATGCGCATAAGTCACATGTTTAGAAGTTATTTCCATGAAAATGATTCGTCCCTGCCTCAAAATGGCTTAGCAGCACCTTTGCACCATTACTTCCTCTAGAATGTGCAGATGCATGAAGTCCTCACCTCTCTCTCTTCTTGCCTCTCTGCTCATTGTAACTGCACTACACCAGCTCACCAGCCACTACTTTGCCTAAACCCTGTAAATCTACTTTGTGCTACACAATGGTAAGCTGAATAATAATGAAGAATAGTTATCAGAAAGCCTAACCTTGCAAAGTTGACAGGATTGGTTCCTTAAGTTAGTCACATGTAAAACTCTGGAAGTCTGAATCCATGTTTTTCAGACTGTCACTGGTACACCGCACAGCCAAGGTGGAAGTACTCAGCCATGATGTTACATGTTATTTCACTCATGATATATCTTCCCGCATATAAAAACACCATATAGACATGTTAACAAGGTTTAAAAAAAAAAAAAAGTTTTTTTTTCTGTAGTACGTCCTAACAACTTTAAATGTAACACAGACTTGGCTGCGGTGGTGCCATTCTCTCTGCTGATTATATTTACAGTAATTATTCAAGAAGACTAATAACTAACTGTGGAATCAGTCATTAAATTACTCTCGCTTCCTTTATCTGCCTCAACAATTTCATTATTACTGAATTCATTTGTCAGAACCTAGCAATGAATTTCAATTTAATGTGAGAGCAGCACTGGCATATGAGACCTGTAGCTTTTTTAATAAAGCAATGGTTTGATGACTCAATATTTCCTTCATTTAATGCAATGATTTAGCCCTTCAATAGGCCTCCATATGATTCCTTTCTGCACATCTATTAGTTCTGAGTCACTGATGAAACAGCTGCTGCGTTAAGGGAGCACAGGGGCTACCCCGGGGTGCTTGTTTGGTTTCAACTGCATGTCTGCACAGGAACAAGCGCATGTATGTGTGTCAGTATGTTTGTGAAGCGGTATCGAAAACATCAGGCTGCTACGGTTTCATGGAGAGCTGCCAGGCATGCGTCTGCAAATTATCTACATCCTAGCATTGTCCACGAACTGAAACCGTCTCTCTACATTTCAGGCCCAAAGGAGCTTGTGCATTTTTTCCCTCTGCTCTTTTATGTCTTTGTTTCTCTTTTTCAATTTCTTTCATCTCACTCTCAAATCCAACAATTTCACACCCGTTCAGTACACTTTCTCATACGTGGGTGTGTAAAATCTGGATGTGCACATTGTCTCTTTTAAAGGTAGAATAAAAGGCCACTAATGAGGCTCATGGTGGTGTGATTGGGCTCATTTTCCATTTGCAGGATGATTTTTTGCCAGTCATTTTTTTGCTCATCCTGGCTCTCATCGTTTCATTCCTTCCTCCTTCACTTGTTCCTTTTGAAGTCTGACAATCAATAATTATTGTTAAAGCTAACAAAATTTTCAGCGTTCTTCTGAAATGATCTTTCTCCCGGTTCTGTGCCTCCATTTCTATTCTTCCTTTGTGCACGGGCTTCACAACAATTAATCGAATATTAATTAAGATTTTGGCTTCCCGCAATTAAATGAACATGATCGACTGCGATATTGATGTTTAAAATGTGTGCTCTACTTAGAGAAAACTCAGCTGCATATCAAATCAAACGCTTTCTGAACTAACAGCCAGCCACAAGGGAGCAGTCAGGCTGTATTGGCTTCACTTTTGGGGAGCCGTGGTGTTGCTGCACATGCACCCCTGCAGTGGAAGCCTGCGCAACCATCTCCTTGATGTAGAGTAGAACAGTGATAGACAACAGAGCAGATAGGCAAAACAAAAATTAAATGTCTGAGATGGATGGTGTAGAGCCAGTCCCTCGAAACAGACCATCATCTGTTATTTGAAAGCATTTAGAATTTAGGGCAACTGATGCTACACAAGAACCAATCATACTCAGAGAGTCCACGTGACTCGTGTCTGTGTAAATCTGCATCCCCTCGTCTCTTTCTCTCAGTCTCATTCTCAGCTAGATGTCTAGATGATGCTGTATGCTCCTCCTCTTAGCCCCTTCTTGCTCTCTTGTGTCTGTCAGACAATCTTACTGATGAATGGAAACCCTGCCCTCTATTTAACGCCGCACATAGTGTTCTTGACTTGGGCCATTTATAAGCTGACTCATGTGAGTCTGTGTCCACTTGCACCCTTGTCCCACTCAAACGATGAATCTTTCTGTGTGTGGTTCCCTCCCTCTGTCTCTCAGTTACCATGAGGCAGGTGGCTCGCACTGTCGCCAAGGTGGAGTTGTCGGATCATGTGTGCGATGTGGTGTTTGCTCTGTTCGACTGTGATGGTAAGTAGCTGACAGGCTCATCATACCTCTCGCCTGTAAATATTTATGGAAAGAAAATGATGCCTCCAGAGGTGGAAATCATCAATAAATGGAAGTCATATCCCTCTCTTTCGTGCTTGTCTCCTATTATTTCATCATCCCCCCCTCTCCTGTCCGTCACCCCCCCGCGCTTCTCCGCTTCTCCTCTTGTCTGTCTTCCTTAGGGAATGGAGAGCTGAGTAATAAAGAGTTCATAGCCATCATGAAGCAGCGGCTGATGCGTGGGCTGGAGAAACCCAAGGACATGGGCTTCACCCGGCTGGTGCGTGCCATGTGGAAGTGTGCCCAGGATACTGCCTGGGACTTTGCCACACCAAAGACATAATAGAGACAGGTGACAACGTGTGAGCGAGAGAGAAAGACAGCGTGTGAATAAGGCAACATCACCCAGCAAAGGCATTCTCCTTCAACAGGTTTTCGAGAATTTAAATAGACAATTAATGCATTGAACTCATTAAGGCTGCAGCCCTGAGAGGCATTGCCAATCATTACTGCATGTTGCTGTAGTTCATGCCATCAATATAATGACTGAAGCATCTTGATGCAGTGCAGCGTGTCCTGAAATGCTTTTCCAGTGTGCCTGTTGAAGGGATCCTGGGTATCTGTATATTTTACAATATGCAAAGTTTGTATGTTTATTCTTTAAAAAAAAAAGAAAGAAAGAAAGAAAGAAAAGCAGCATCAATCCATGAACGTTGTTTGGGAGACACTAAAAAAAACAAAAAAACAAAACGCCACTTTCCTATTCTGTTTAATGCGTTTTACAGCAAAAAGCAAGACAAGAAGAGCTATCACTCCTATTTGACCTTCAGCTGTATAAAAGCTCCAGTCTGTCTGTTCTATACTGACAACAGACCCTTAGTTATTTCTTTGGAGGGACAGAGCAGAAGTCTGTAATGTTGCTAGAACCTCTTCATTCGCTCTGCTCGTTCCAGGTATCCTTATTCCTTGCATTCTGTCCCATAAAAGATCAACGACGCTTGTACTGTACTGTTCAAAGTGTGTATTCTTCTGATTATTATTGCTCACTGAAACACTTTATATAAGATGGATGTTGAAAGTAATACTCTATTAAAAGATGTTTTAATAAGTAAAACTGATCAAGCTTTATTTCTAAATGCTCGACTTGTACGTTCGATTGTTGTCCTGCCATGTTCTCGTTTTCACTCTTTGACTAAGAGAAACACAGCGAGGGATTAGCAAGACTAATCTACGGTGCACCGAGGAAGTCGTTTGTCGTGTGTAATGAAGTGGGGTGTAACATTTTTCGTGAAAAAAAAAAAACGCACTGCTGATTGTATCCATTGGCTCTGAGCGTGCTCCGGAGGAAGAAAATGATGGTAATGTATGTGCGCACGAGCAGTCAGCAGTTTTGTCTAATTGAAATGGACGGGATGGGCAGTCTTCTGCCTCCACTGCCCATTAAAAGATTGTCCTGTGGCCCCTCTGTACACACACACTGTGCTGCATTGGCCCGAAACAAGCTGGCTTGCTTTCTTGCACATATTCCGACTGACAGACGGAAGTGGTGCTCAGGAGTGATTGCTAGGCAGGAGATTAGGTTGAAGGGCCTCTCATCAGTATTCTTTACCCTTGTTCTTTGCAGAGCTTAAAGCTGGCGTGCAATCACACGTGATTTTTAACATTTTCACCACTGGTGCATCGCTGTTCTATCAACTGTGTTATAACCCTTGTCATAAAGTAAACACCATGTATGTCCAAAAAGTCAGCTTTCATTTCCTAAGAAGACGATTCTTGTGTCAGACATTTTATGTAATTAGTTGGATTTTTATTGATTTATTTTGCCCATGAAGTAGGAGAGTTTTGCCAACTCTAGAAGGATAGCCTAATGCCAGTATGTACTGACAAGACACAACCACCTGCCAAATGTTGTGTAGTTCCGTCTCATGTCACCAAGCCAGTTTTGCTCCATTGGCACGTGGACATAGAACCTCTGGAGGCGTCTTATGGTGTCTGGCACCGGGATGGCAGAACCTATGTGTCCTGTGGGTTGCAGGATGAGGCATCAATGGACTGAGATTTTTCTGGCACATCCTATAGATGCTCCATCTGGGATGTTTGACAACTTGGGCTCTTAGTGTTGTTCCTCAAGCTGTTGCCGAGCAGTTTTGGAGGTGTGGTAGGATGCACTGTCCTGCTGGGAGGGAATGCTATAACGGTGGGGGCGGTCTGCAGCAATGTTTGGGTAGGTGTTGTGTGTCAAAAGTAAATTCACACGAATGACAGGACTTAAATGATAATAATTTCCCAGCAGAACATTGCATTAGAGCCACACGATCAAGTGGTTTTAATGTTGTGGTTATATCAGTTTAATTGATGTTTATCCACCAGTCTGAACACAGAAAACACAGAAAAAACATGGAATTGATGTTATAGAACAGAGAAAAATAGCAAAATTACCCATTTAGGAAGCTGGAGCCGGTGTTTGTTTTTTTTTTTTGCCTAATTTAAAATTCTTTCACTTCAAGTCATTTATCCAATTTAACAACAAAATCTTTTTTTTTCTGTAAGTCAACAAAAACAATCAGTTAACCTTTATTTAGTGCAATACCAATAAAGCAAAACAGTTGCCTTCTCTGTTTTCAAAAAGTCGGTGAAAGCCCCCCGTGTGCCTTCGTAGGCTACAGCTTACAGCCTCCAAATGGAGGCATGGACTCTCTCAACCACAGTGGAATCTGCACTGAAAAAATGCCCAGTAGCAGCTCTACAGTACTGCCACACTGCACCCCCCACCCCAGCTTCTCAACAGCTCATCCATGTAAACCTCAAGCAAAGCACGCCCTGTCAAGTTTCTCCGCTTGGTGAGCACTGAAGCAACGCTCAATGGTTAACTGTTGTCAGAGATGGGAGGGGGGCTGTATCTGGAGTGACTGCAGACCTCCCTCTTAAGTCAACAGCTCTTTCTGTGCAATCAGTTCGTGTGTAATCAGACATGTTCACTACATTTCCATAGTGTGTGCACATGAACAGTATGGACTTCAACTGTGCATAGGCCTTGAGGAAAGCAGTGAGTGAATGCTTCGTTAGGTCGTATGCGATGTGCCATCTGACGGGTATTATGAGTTAATGCTAACAGAACCTCTGCTGTTCAGATAAATAGAGTTTAGCTAGTCAGTGTTACATTGCATCCAAATTATACAGCCTCTGAATCACTTCGCCCACTTGACCAGAAGGGGTTGAGAGGATAAAATTTCAAAATAATTCAAGCACTTTAAAGCTACTAAAATTGGAGTACTGCTGTATCCAAGCCACTGCAGTCTGTGCACACTAAAAGCAAGTAACTGACTTTCCACCAAGGCCTGCTTAGAGGTGAATCTGAGGGGGAATAAAGGGAGTCATTTTCTGATACAATCCAAAAATCCTTTACAGCTGCAAGGTACAACCAGCCAACATCAAATGACAACTGCTTATGCTTTGTACGGACAGAGAGTGACAAAAACTGCCAAAGCAATTGCAAATTTATTACTGCTGTGCTGTAAAATGCTCAGACAGGTTTAGAATCTTGTTGGACTGAGGTTTTAGTGAGAACAGTAGCTGAGTGTGGTTACAGATAATGAGGCCTACTGAGAATGTATAGTTAGTAATACATTACAGTCATATCTGACCCCAGTGAACGTTTAATTTGAGGTAAGAGGTGAACCAGCCTGGATCAGGTACATTAACAATAAATCTCATTTAACTAACTGCTATAAACCATGTGACTAACATGAATTTAGTTACTAATTTGAAGCTGTACATGTAATTTAGAGCTCTGAAACCAGCCAAATATACTGTTTTCAATGTAAATAATTTGGTCAAAAAAAATGTTCAGATGAGTCTGAAGCTGAGTTAGCAAAATGGAAAAATGTATTCTTTAAAAGGGTGCTTGTACTACCCTGTCTTTTATAAATGTAGTTCTTTTAAAAATCCCAGAAAACAACCCTGGTTGTGTCATATCAGCTCCAGTGCTACATAAGTTGGAGCGTCCAATCCTTTTGGGGGTTGACTGATTTTAGGGACTAATAGTACAAATATCTGCATCTTTTTATGCTTCCCAATTTTGAAAGTGCAAAAATTGGTGGAGTAGCCCTTTAATAGAGTATTCTCTTACCGTTATGACTACATATGCAAATCTTGGCACGCCTGACTGCATTTAGTGAAACCGTAAAATCTCGTGTACACGTTCAGTACAGAATTTTTTTTTAAAAAGCAGAAAGGCAAGTGACAGTTCACATACTGTACTTTAGTTCCACATTTGCAACTTGAACTTCACCACTGCCATCTAGTGGCCTTATAAAAACTTTACATCTACTTTGTGGGTGATTGCCTGAATCATCGTCCAGACTGCATCCCCAAAGACAGCCTGTACTACTATAGATCATCTGATTGCTTAAAATAACAGATTTTAAATTATTTTTAGACTGACTTTTTCTAAATACCACAGCTCGACTGTAGACACATAGCAGCTTGATATTTGTAGATGGCTACCAGAAAAACACTGACTTCCTCCACATTTGCATGTCAAACTCAGCTGAATGAACACAGCTCTGTAAGAAAGTGCCTGACAAATTCCAAGTATAAGTTTCATTTTGAAAGGAAGACCTAAAAACATGCACAAAAATCATAAATTTGATCTCAGTAACATTTAAACTGTTAGATCTTTTAATTGCTAGAATAAAAAAATAACAGCGGTACACAGAAATCCATACAGTAAGTTCAAATAATTGGAACAAACATGGCTCTCAGTCATGTTTGTGAATAACAAAGTCAATACCACTGATGAACAGAATAGGGAGGGATGATGAGGGCAACCTAACATCAGAAGAAACAATGATTTAAAAGCAAAATTCCTTGAGAATACCAAAAAGACTCTGTAGGTCCTAAAGGTTGAAATGGAATAAAACATAATAAATACACAGTACAAAACTCTGCTCTACTCAATAGTGTTTTCTTGTAATGTTAGGAGAAAAGCCCAAACACACCCTCTCTACATTTAAATGTGGCCAAATAAGAACTGACAAAAACCAACAAAAACCCAAGCAAACCATTAAAAATCAATAGCATTTTCTTTCACATAATAAAGAATGTATTATGATGGATGGCTGTCATTCATACATAGATAAATGAGAAATTTATGTCACAAAATCATGACAGAACATTCATCATTTGAGAATTAAGTCAAAACAAGGATAAGGGCCCAACACACATATCCTGGCTTTTTAACATTAGCTGATGGCCTGCAGCCACCTAGTGGCCATAAGTAATAATGTCACATGGGTGTCAACCACTACAGCCTGATGTGACAGCTGTGAACATATTTTACCAGCTGCCACAGCTCCACTAAACTGTTACTTCAGATCAGCCATCAGTCTTCATTGCAGACTAACAGCACGCTAAATGAAAGTGCCAGCTCAGCTCTATGGGTCCATTCTTCTGTCTGGTGATGGCAGAGACTGTTTACAGGAGGGTGTGGGTGGGGTTGGGGGCAGACAATTGATATTCCTGACCACACAGGTACGGTACAGTTCGAGTTGGAGGGACCCGACTGAGAAGGTTACTCAGTCGCTGTCAAACTTGATTGAGTTGATTGTTGTGGAGATGGCTCCCCCGCGGTAGCTTCCCCTCTTCTTCTTTGTCTTTTCATGACGGAATGATTTGCCTTTTGTGAACCTGAGCACGTCGTTAGCTTTCTGGCCCCAGTCCCCATTAGCTCCAAGCTGGAACGGCAAAGACGAAAGAAGATGACTGGGTCAGCCTGGCAACCGTAATGTGCACAGCTGCTGTGAGAACAATTCAACTGGTTGCTGAACTTACTTTGGCGTCAAAAGAGTTGTCTGCAAGACGGGGATCCACATCTACTTTTTCCTCAACTATTCTACGAAAGGGTACGTTGGTAGACTGAAAGACAAAGTCATTTCCATCAAATTAAGACCATGACTTCATCCAGCATTAAATCCAACATTTGCTGGCAACTTAAGACCAAGTTCGTCTCTTACCTTCTTATTGGCTTTAGGGAACGTCTGTGGTGTGGTTGGTGCTTTCTTATTTTTTGGCGTCTTTACTTCCATCTCCTCCTCCTCTTCACTTTCTGAGGATTCTTCATCCCTTTTTCTCTTTCCATTGGTACCTGCAAAAATCACCAGCTGTAACAACTGTGTACCACTACAGCTAATATGCAGACAAATGCTGAAAGCCTGGTTTTGGTTGGTTATGGTTGGGACTTACTATTCGCTGTTGGGGTGGTGGGTGCAGTGGCTGCTTTACGCGGAGCTTCCTCCTCATCTGATGAACTGTCTGAGGAGCTGCTACTGCTCTCTTTAGGTTTTGCTGCTGGGGTTGTCTTGGCTGGCGTAGCAGGTTTTACAGTACTCTTATTGGCCTCTTCCTCTTCTTCAGAGCTGCTGTCGCTGGATGACGACTCTGCCGGCTTTGCTGCAGCCTTTACTGCTGTGGTGGCTGTCTTGGGGGTTGCTGTCTTGCCGTTGGTGACAACAGGCTTAGCAGGGGTGGTCTCTGTCTCTGAATCAGAGCTATCTGAGGAGTCAGAGCTGCTCTCCTCAGCTTTCTTTGATGAAGCTGCAGCTGCAGGCTTGGATGGTGGTGCTGCCTTCTTGGGTTCCTCCTCATCGCTGGAGCTGTCATCACTGGAGTCTGCAGGAGCCTTTGTGGCGTTAGCAGCTGCAGGTTTCTTGGCTGCTGCAGGGGCTTGTTTCTTGACTGCAGGCTTGGGTGGTTCATCCTCAGAGTCTGAACTGTCACTGTCAGAGCTGCTTTCTGCTGCTGCACTGGAGACGGGCTTTGAAGCAGGGGTAGCTGGTTTAGCTGCTGCTGCTGTTGGCTTGGCTTTCACTGGTTCTTCCTCATCGTCAGAAGAGGACTCAGAGCTGCTATCTGCTGCAGCAGTCTTTCCTGCAGGTGTAGCAGACTTTGAGGCTGGGGTAGCTGCTTTAGCCACAGCAGGTTTAGCCTTGACAGGTTCTTCATCTTCAGAAGAGGAGTCAGACTCTGAGCTGCTTTCTGCTGCAGTGGCAGGCTTAGCTGCCGGAGTAACAGGCTTTGAGGCTGGGGTAGCTGGTTTAGCTGCTGTTGCTTTGGCCTTAGCTGGCTCTTCATCCTCAGAGGAGGAATCGGAGTCTGAGCTGCTTTCTGCTGCAGCAGCAGTCTTAGCTGCCGGAGTAGCAGGCTTTGAGGCTGGGGTAGCTGGTTTAGCTGCTGTTGCCTTTGCCTTGGCCTTCACTGGCTCTTCATCCTCGGAGGAGGAGTCAGAGTCTGAGCTGCTTTCTGCTGCAGCAGCAGGCTTGGCTGCAGGCTTAGCTGCCGGAGTAGCAGGCTCTGAGGCTGGGGTAGCTGGTTTAGCTGCTGTTGCCTTGGCCTTCACTGGCTCTTCATCCTCAGAGGAGGAATCAGAGTCTGAGCTGCTTTCTGCTGCAGCAGCAGGCTTAGCTGCAGTCTT